GGGAGTGCTATTTGTGATTCTTTGGTTGATGTTCCTATCGAGCAAATTTCGCATAATGTTCTCAAGTCGCAAATTTTGTTGAGATAAGGGGAGCCTTGTTTGAGGCAAATTGATTGGTTGGATGATTCTCAGGACTCTTCGTGTGATCTGGAGGATGACTTGGGGGGTGATGTTGGGGCCATACAGGATTTGTATGGTTTGGAGGTTTCGTTAGAACCTCCTTTCTGTCATGGTGGCAAACAACATCGATGCAAATCTAGGAGATAAGAATTATCTTTCTCCTTTTGTTTTCGTTTGCACGGTTGGCTATTTTTTGTTTCTCTTGTGTTGCTCTCGGTTTTTTTGGGTTGGGATGTTCTGGTGCGGCTCGTTTTGGCTTGATTTAGTTAGCTATGGCTCAGTTTCTTGGATTATTTACCTACTCTATTGTGATTTTGGAATTGGCTTTGGACTATGATGAGGTAGTATGCTTGCATGCCCCGCGAATGGCCATGGCTTGGTTTGAAACCTTGGTGGTCATTTTCCTCATCATAATTTTTTGGACTTTTACTTTGGTGAACCTGATGTTAGAATCTACGTGATTGCCTCTGTTTTCTCCTTGGATGGCCCAAGCCTGACAACTAGGTGGCGGTCTGAATCTAGTTGGTTTGGGATTTTTCTTTTTCATTGTCTTATTCTTGTTGTTTGGCTGGACACTAACTTTTTATCATCTCACTATATTTATCTTATATGGGGCTTCTTTTTTGGGCTTGTGTTGTAATGCCTGTTTTATCTAATGAAATTTTCTTTTAAAAAAATACGTCTGAACGGTCACGATAAAACTAATAAGCAACATTGCTAAGTGCTTCGAATTATAAGTATAAGAGTGACCTAATTATCAAATTATTTGTTCTTTAAGTTGTTAATTTTTTTAATTAAAAAAATAAAGAAAATAATAATAATAATAAGTTGTTGATTTTTTTAATGTAAATGTACTTTGTAATATAATCATAATGCATGATTATTAATAAAACAAGATATTTTTATCCCCAACAAAACTACTTCTTACAGCAAATATAAAATATTAATCCGTTTATTAAAAATAAAATAAAAGAACAAACCATTCATTTTTAAAACTTTACTAACCTGCGGTGAATTTAAACTGCCACTGTCAAACACAGTTTTACTTTGCTGAAAGCAAAAAAATTATTAATTAAATTAAATAAATAAACATTTTTTATCCAAACGTCAATTGGTATTTTAGTTAGAGAAATCGTTATTATTACGTTTTTTTCTCTTTTGAGAAGCCCGTTAAAAAAAAATAATAAACGGCCAGAGAACAATACCTTATAAATATTATGATCTTACTATTTCAAATACTATACTCATATCCAAAAAAATTTAAAAAAGAAAAAAAAATCGAAAACTTGATAAAAATATCCTAATTATTATACTCAATGCGCGAAAAATCTTGACGCATTCTAGAAGAGCATTTTTAGATGCTGAAGAATACGCCGAACATTTCTGCTTATTCTTCAGTGCGCCAAAACTTTTGGCGTTTTCAACCAACACGCTACAGCTTCCCGTGAATTTGCTCCTAAAATTTCGCACCCTATATGCTCCTTCCGCTAAATCTTGCTAGTTGCGTTCTCCTTTCTAAAATTTTGCCTTGTTTAGAGTTGCTATAATTTTTTAGAAATTTTTTTATAAAAATAGTTTTGAAATTGTTGTGGAGAAATAAATTTTTTAAAAATAATTGTAAATATTATGAATATTTAAAAAATTCAAACGACAATATTTTATAACTCTCAAAGTAGCAAAAAATATTTATTTTTTTTTTTAAAAAAGCAGCCAAAAAGTAGCAAAAAACTGTCATAAAGCATCCCCACGTAAGGCCTAAGGGATCTAATTTTTCCAATGTCAAGGTATGAATTTTATATTAAAAAAATCAATTTGAAAGTGTATAAAATTATTTTAAAATTTATTTACAGCTTAACAAAGCCTTAATTTGAGAGAAGTCTTTATTTTCCAAAAAAAAAATGATAATTTTGCTATTTTCATTAATAACTTTTATCAATATATTTTGCCTTTTATAGAATTTCTGAATTAGCAAGCCAACTGCTAAAGAAATGAATAATCTAGTAGCTCAACAACTTAATTATTCTTTAAAAAATAATAGATTAATTAGTAATTATGCTTACAATAAGAAAATCCTTAGGACAAAAAAGTTACAAATTAGTTATAATCACAGTGTTGAAATTTTGTTAAAGATAAAATTTTGTTTTTAGTTCAATCATCATAGACTCATAACTTAGGTTTCATTTCGGACGGCTTTTTTACTGCTTCTAAAAGTAGCTTTTTAATACAAAATTCTAAACTACTTTCTTAAAGCTATTTTAGGCTTCATTTGGGACAGCCTTCTTACTGCTTCTTAAAGCAGCTTTTTAATAAAAAATTTTAAATTTTTACTAAAAAACTGCTTTAGGAATAAGTAAAAAAGCCGTCCCAAACTAAACCTTAAGAAGCAATAAAAAAGTAGTCTCAAACAAATTCTTCATTATATATATCATAAAAATTTGGTGAAGGAATTCACATAATTGCATAGCAAATCATAAATAATTTGATTGAAAGCACTATTTTTTGTTCATGGCAGAATAAGAAAAGGGGCAAATCAAAGCTATTGAAAATACTGTAGCTGTGATTTACCTTCAATTATTTGATAGAACTATATTAGCTTTGCTATTCGAATTAAAATAAAAATTCAGAGCTCTGAGGGCTTATGGATTGCCAGATTGGAGGCATGCAAAGTGAACAATTTTGCAATAAGAAAAAGTTGAAAATGATATAGTTTGAATTTGATGGAGATGAATTTTAGAATTTTTTTTTTTATTGAGAATTAAGAATTGAAATATTAAAAATTTATTTATTATTGATATATCGCATTCGCCCTACAGAAAATGTAGAAGTTGAAATTTATTATGATCAAATTTTGGTAAAAATATCTTAACATATTAGCATCATCGTAAAATTTTGGTCAAATATTATTAGATAATTAATAATTGACTAAATTTAATGCTTTGATGACATTATAATTGAGTGATTTTGAGCTAGTTGAATTTCTATCATCCGTATGCTCGTTTTGACTATGAGCTTGCACGATTCAGAGATCATTTGGTGCTTCAATTAATATTACAAAGTTTTTAACCATGCTTTTAAGTGTTTAGTTTGAGCTCATTTGAAGTTGAATTGAATCAATTTTAGTGTCATGAGTTCATTTCATCAAGGCTTTCAGTTTGACTGTGAATTTGTTGAAATCTGAGTTCGAATAGCCCCTAAATTTTACTCGAAAATTTTATATTTCAAATATTACATCAAAATTCATACTTGATCGGATGAATTATCTAGTGATATAATAATAATAATAATAATAATAGAGAAATTTACATACATACCACTTTATAACATCCTATTTACATATCTAACACCCTAAATTTTAATATTACATGCATACCATCCAATATTATTTTAATATCAGATACACCACTTATATTTCTTTCCTACCACTCATATATTTCATTTCTACCACTCCTATTTGATATGAAAATGAACTATGAGGGTATGTATGCAATATTAAAGTTTTAGATGTTAAATATATAAATAGAATAGTATTAGATGGTATGTATGTAAATCTCTCATAATAATAATAATAATAATAAACTTCTTACATTCCTTAGCACAACAGTTAAAAAGGAAGAAATTTTACTTTATATATCTTATGATAGTTCTAGTTGAAGCAATATATTAATTAATTATTTATTTTTTGCAGAAATATGATGAGAATATCATTTCAAATCAAAATGCCTCTCTAGGTAAACAACTTATTGAAGTCCATCATGAATAATATATGTTCAATTCTCATTCAAATGTGGTTAGAACCCCATTCAAATGAAGTTCTAACCATGCTTAATAAAAGAGGAATTGAACAAGGTTTGAGCAAATTTTAACTAGTTTTGAACTATGGTTAAACAATGTTAGAAAATGAAAGCTCGACTAGAAATAATATATGAACTAGTTTTGAGCAAGGTTCAAAAATATTTCTACTCGAGGTAGGCTCTCAGTATCCTATTTCTGAATTCAATTATGATGTTTGTATGACTAGATTTGGAATAACATATGGTTTTCTTAAGTTTGATAATTTTTTTTTATCGTGTAAATTTTGGTATGTTGTAGAATTTCTCATTCCGATTATTTTGCAGTAGGAAAGTTGAATTTCTCTAGTCGGTTTTATTTGTACGTATTATTGAGTTTTTTCTTATGAATGTGACATTTCCGATATTGGTTACACTTAACGAAATGCTTCAAAATGACATTTTACACGTCCTCTTTGCATGATAATCTAAATGTTAAACGTTGAGTATGTGTGCAAATTGTACATTTTTTAACTCAAAAAATGCAGTACAATCCAGAAATTTTCATAATCATGTTCAATGTTGTATATAAATGTCAAATATGTTATTATATGCATGTGCATATTATGTTCATATGACAAAAGTTCTATATAAGTTCTGCTATTTGGATCCTAATTTTTGTTTTATTTTGTGATGTTTCTATTTTTTACTCAGTCTATTTTTATTGTCGGTGTAAGAGATGTTCAAATGAAGGAGGATTAATTATTATGTGCGGGTACTGAACATCATCCGGAGGCCAACCAGAATGTGTCATATCACTCTTTGCTCAGTACGTGGCTCAGTACTACTCGATACTGCGGCTCGGTACCGTTGACGAGATGCGTTCTGGTTGCTCTCTGGATGACTTTTTGCGTCCAATCCTCACACAAAATAATTTCTTCCAAAGTAGTTATAACTTATAAGTGGATGTGAAGTTATTTTGCATTGCATAAATACCATATTCATTAATAGAAAATATTTTGCATTGCATAAATAGCATATTTATTAATAGAAAAAATATATGATATTAGCTGTAGAAATAAAAAATGGAAAACAAAATTGTTCTCCCTCCCCTTTTATGTGTTTCCTTCTCCCACTAATTTCGAAAATGGAGTGCTTGGATGTGCTGCCCTGGTTTTTTTAAGAAGCTCCATTTTCCTTTATGATCTCGTATTCCTCTCGCCAGCGCTAGGTTGGCGGGGCAGTTGTGAACCTGCTCCTGGTGCTTCTGCTCGCCGCGGTCGAGATCAGATCTGTGCCATTCGTGGCATTGTATTCTTCCTCTGGCCTTTCTCTTCCCTTCCATGCCGCCATAGGAGCCTCTCAGCTCGCCTGAGTTCAAAGGTTTCCTGTGCCCTTTTGCTGTTTTAATGTTTTATGTTCTATTTGTTTTGGTTTCTTCTGAATTTGCGGTTAGCTTTTCGATTCTTCTCGAGAAAGGTAAAAGCTGCGGCCTTTTTTTTTTCTACCTTTTTTTCTTCTTTGACGTGTCCCAATCTTTTCCTTGCTAGGTTATCGGTGGTGCTTTTTCCAAGAGTCATCTGCAGGTGTTTTCTTTGTTTGTTTCTCTTTCAAGAGCCTCTTAGTATCATTTGGCTCTGGCATTTGTGAGATGCATCTTTTTCTTGATTTTGCTCACGTGCTGCATTATCGAGAAGCTTCTTGAGGTTGAAGGGTGCGTGTTTTTTTTTTTTTTTTGGAGATATTTCATGAGTCAAGGAGGTGGTGGTGGCGGCTCTCCACCAGATTCGGCTCGTTATGCTCCTTTTGACTCTATAACTAGCAGTTTTCACATGAAATCTGTGACCATGGCCTCATCTTCTTCTCAATCTCTGGCTACTGGAGCCTCAGAATCTGGCATTGGCGACACTGTGTCCACCGATGAGAAGCGGTTCAGCCAGGACATTAGTAGGATGCCAGATTTCCCTGCTCGGAATATAAGTCACAGACGTGCTCAGTCGGAGATTATTAGCCTCCCAGATGATATCAGTTTTGACAGTGACCTCGGGGTTGTTGGCTGCATGGATGGCCCAGCACTTTTTGATGATACTGAGGAAGATCTCTTCTCAATGTACATTGATCTTGAAAAGTTCAATACATCTGCTGGAACTTCAGAGGAGGTCTTACAACTGGGTGATCCTTCAGGCGCCACAGCTCCTCCTGCCCCTCAACAACACACTGGGAACCTGGCATCAACTTTGACTGATAAACCAAAGTTTAGGCATCATCATAGTCACTCTTTGGATGGTTCCGCTTCAGTAAAATCAGAGCTTTTAGAATCTGGCTTGGAGCATGCAGACACAAAGAAAGCTATGTCAGCTGCCAAGCTTGCTGATCTTGCCCTTGTAGATCCAAAGCGAGCTAAGAGGTTAGCTTTTAACTCGTTATGCTATTTAGAAATCTGCTCAAGTCAATGCATTTGGTTGCTCTTGTTAGATGGAATTACAGAATGCTCATTATTTTCTTCAGTGTGAAAATTTACATTACATGCGGAAAACATCCCCTTCTCAGCCATTCCATTTTCAAAGGACTTCATTTAATGCATTTGTAAAGAATTTCAGTGATGCTAGATGTGTTTCAGTGCACCGCCCATGTTATATATCAGGTTTCAAATAGATTTTTCATTTATAAGAACATGAGTGGCAAGGACTACAAAAAAAAAAGTAAACTTACTTTAATGCAATGATTTATATGATTTGGTCATTAAAAAGACCAAAGAAACATTGTAAGGTGATGAAGATCCTTTAATGTACCTTACAATTTTACTTGATGGATGAAATAACTCAAGAATACCTCTTCTAGATTGGAAGAATATAAATATATTAGGTTGACTAGTTCTTTGCAATGGTGATTTGCCTGCAGTTCAGAGAATTTTAAGACCATTTGTTTTGATGACCTCTAGAACACTTTTGAAGCCTTTGTTTGGTTTGATTAATGCATAAAATTAGCAAACTAGAAACCTGTTGATGGCAAGCAGTGAATCAATTGAAATAGCTGAGTAAATTTTCTACGCAAATGAATCTAATTTTATTTTATAATCCGGGTTTGATTCTGAATTTAGCATCAATAGATGGCTAAAATTTCTTAAACTATGAGCATATTTATTGTTTTATAAAATAGATAAACGTGGTGGCATAAGTTGCACCTATTGTTGCTGTGTACAAGAACATAAGTTACTGTTTCTGATTTCATTTTGCCAGGTGCTTATTACTAACGTTTGGTTATTTTCTTGACTTGTTAAAAACATTTTTGTAAAGAAATAAAAGATACAATTAACAGTTTTTATGTTGAATTGATTCATTTGGGACTTTTTTCTATTTCTTTTGTAAGCAGCCTCTTTGAAATTACCATTTCTACTAGTGCCACACTTCTTCTATGACTTGAAGTCTTATACATTTATTCCGCAATGCCAAAAAAACCAAGCCCTGTTAACCTTAGTACTTGAATAATGTGATGATTTAGTTGCTATATCAGAAGAAACAAATTACCATGAACATATGCATGTCGGTTGAAGACATTATTTTCAGTTTTTTTTTTTCAATGAAATACAATCTTATAGTGAGAATTTTATTTTATATAAAGCTTTAAAGCCTTCTCCGCAAGCATGCATATATTGTGAGAACAATTTCCTTGAGTAATTTAACTTGGATAGCAAAGCAGGTAGATACCTTTTTATTTCTTATAAATAAAAGGTTACTGGCCTTTGGAATCACCTGTTAAATTCTCGCGTAGGTGATCATTTTAAGTTATATATATATATAACTTTATTTTATATAAAGCTTTAAAGCTTCAATTGCAAAGAGTTTTCATATTTTTTTCTTATACTTTTTTCATATTGCTTACTGCCCTTTCATACTTCATTTATAGTTATATTCTCTTTGATGTAAACCTGTCCTGCACAAACTATTTGTGTTCCGATTGGGTAAGACCCTGATTTGCATAGTTGTGTCTATCCAGATTTTAATCAAATATCTTCAGAATTCGGATCAATTTGAACCATAATCCTCCCATACCCCAAATATTATTTATGTTTGGCAAGTAAAAATAAAGGGAAGATGATAAGAGGATGGGAAGTAGATTTTGTTCTCGGAATTAAAGTTTCAATGCTTGGTCTTGAATATTGTATGAACCAACAATCTAGATCAATCATTATATATATATATACCTGCGCTCCTTGTTATGTAGGATCAAATGCAAATATACTATGTGAAAAAATTATGTGTTTTAATTATCTTAAAAATTGTTGATTAGTGATCCAATGTCCAAATTGATGCATGCAAAAATTAGAACAACCCCTAATTTTTGCAAGCAAAAGAAAACTCTTCCTAGGACAATAAAAAATTACATAAAATACTCAAATTAGACAAAATATAACTTTTATATTATAAAGAAAGACACTTACACACTTATGAAAATAAAACGTCACATACAACTTCCTAAAGTTGCATTTCATCCATTGCTTTGAGAAGAAGGATACATGTGGAGTGGAAACCATGGAGAGAAGAAGGAGGTAAGAAGCCAAGATGAAGAGAAGGCATAGCTCGCAAGCTATCCTAGAAGAATGAGAAGGGGATACATAGCTCGCAAGCTATCAAACAAAACCCATAGGTTTTCTTCCAAAAGTTATCACCATAAACTCTTTTTTTTCATACAAAACATCTCCTATTTATAGAAGAAAAGAGAGCAGCCAAACAACCCCAATTAACTCCAAAAATAGCACCCAAAGAGCCACAAAAAGGTTAGCATTTAATCCAGAAAAGCACCTGAAAGGCAGCACAGAGAACCGGGTAAAAGCAGCCCACGGGAAAGCAACCAGGGAAGAAACCGAAAAGGCAGCACAGGGGACCGGACCCAGCACCCAACAAAGGGAGGTAAAGCAGCCACGTGACCAGCACCTGGAGGAAATCGAAGGGGCAGCACAAGAGACGGAACAACAGCCAAGGGAGCCGAACTAGGAGGGAAAACCAAAGAGACCAAGGGAAGGGGAAAAGGCAAAGTTCCAACTCCAAATAATGAGCTTTCAAGTGCAATTACGCATCCAAATAATGAGCTAAAACATCAACTCAAACAATAATGAGCTATAATTAAGTAGCTCCCAACAATTCAGCTCAAAATCAAAGCAGCCAAGGCTCAACCCGAAAAAACAACAACTGCCCAAAAGACCAAAAAACCCAAGTAGCTAGCATACCCAAAGATTGCCAAGTTCAAGAGACAATGGAAATGAGTAGAGCTTATCTATTTGTATGTGTGTGTGCATGCACTCTTGTCTTTATGTTTTTGTTTGGGTCTTCAAATTATTGGGATCCATTTTTACTTGACAACAACAAAGATAGTTGAATCGATTAAGGCTTCGTTTGGGATGGCTTTCTTTCTGCTTTTGAAAGCAGAAAGAAAGCCGTCCCAAACGAAGCCCAAGTCTTATTCGTTGGCCGGATCAAAACAAACCATTTACACAGGCAATGGCCTTCACCAAACCTACTTCTCCTCTCCATAATAACCTAACCCTTCTGTCTTGACTACCAACATGTAAATGGTTTGATGGATTGATTAAATTGATAACCTGGCCATACTCTATTTTCTTCAATTTTTTTTTCCTGCAGATATCTACAATAACAACCACAACATCATCAAGCCTTTGTCCAACTACGTGGGGTCGGCTACATGAATCTTTTTTTTTTTCTATTGTGTCATGTTAAATGTCAAATTCTCATTTAAATCTAATAAAGAAAGACTATTTCTAATATTTTCTTACCAAGTCTTTTTAGGTCTACTTCTACCTTTCTTAACATAAGTCAAATCTAATATTGATATTAGGGTCTGACATTGCTACCTGTTTTAGTTTCAATGTGACCAAAATGGGCCAATTTCTTAAGGCAGGCTATTTTAAATATTCCAACTTCTACTCTTTAAGTTATAGCATTTATTGCACTGGGAACTAAAAGGCCTTCCCCTCCCTCCTTTCGTTTCATTAACTTTCACCAGCAAATGATCAAGTTCTCTTCATCTATTTTTTTCTTCCAGTCTTCCTTTTAATTTTTGCTGCTGCCATGATCACGACTTATATATGATTTCGCCATGCTATATTCTTCCCAAAACTTCCCTTGTAATCCAAGAATCATCCAATTTGCTCCTTGGTTTCTATCCATTGCCCAAACGATAGTGAGGACAAGTGCAAATCTGACTCCATGCCAACAGGTAATAAAGCAAGATGGGATTTTAAACAGAATAAAGCTTCCAAGAAAGTGCTTTGTTTGATCTTTTTCTACTCTTTTGAACTTCCATTTTTCCTCTTCTATGTTAACTTGTTGACTAACTATACCTGCCTCTGGCTGCACCATGTTGGACTTTTAAGGATTTAGGAGTACAATAGAACAACCAGCACAGGTTGCCTAACCATACCTTTGCCTTCCTACTGTATAATAAGGGAGCATTAGTAAGTTTGATGATGGAATTCTATCTGTGCTACTTTTCATTGTTTATCCTTATATAACAGAATAGAGTAGTATCACCAAATTGTTTTGGTTGGATTTACAATGCCAGAAAGAAGATTTTTTTCTCTAATTTCCATCACAGATTTTATCTGCTGTTGCATCAAAAGAATTTTTTTTAAGACTTTGATACTGTACTACTGTATTGATTACTTTCACTCATCTGAGAGATGTGATTCGTTTTGTAAAATTATACTTCCACCATATGCTCACTGACGACGATCTATACAAATGCTAGAATTTGGGCAAATCGGCAGTCTGCGGCTAGATCGAAGGAAAGGAAGATGCGTTACATTGCAGAGCTTGAGCGAAAAGTTAAGACACTTCAAACAGAAGCAACCACACTGTCAGCTCAGTTGAACATGCTACAGGTTTACATATCAATATCACATCAGTAATTTTGTTGCAACTGTTATTTTCAATCCTCTCATAGAGTACATAATTCTCTCCGTATGATCAAAATGCTATCACATTGCATGTTGATAATGAATTGACTCTATTCTCTGCTTCTATATGTAATTATTGAAGACTATATTAACGGTCTATACATTTAGAGTAAATATAAAATGTGATTTTCTTAAATAAAAAGTTATTTATGGCTCCGAATGTTGGCCATTAAAAGAGAAACGTAATACTAAGTTAAGTGTTGCAGAGATGAGGATGCTTAGGTGGGTGAGTGGCTTTACCCTTAGAGATAGGATATGAAATGAGCATATATGTGAAAAGGTTGGAGTAGCTCCAGTGGAAGATAAGATTAGAGAGAGTCGCCTTAGATGGTTTGTCACATTAAACGGAGGCCTTTCGATGATCCGGTTAGGAAAGTTGAGGTATTAGATTTGACTTATTTTAAGAAAGGTAGAGGTAGACCTAAAAAGACTTGGTTAGAAAATATTAGAAATGATCTTTCTTTATTAGATTTAAATCAGAATTTGACGTTTAATAGGACATAGTGGAGAAAAAGGATTCATGTAGCCGACTCCACGTAGTGGGACAAAAGCTTGATATTGTTGTTGTTGTTGAAATAAAAAATTATATTTATTTTTATCTGGATTTTTGGATATTACAGAATTCACATTTTAAGCTATCATATGCATATTGGAAACTGCAATTTGGGTTTTTATTTTTTTATTTTTTTTTTATTTGCATTATTCCCTGATCCACCATGCTTGTTAGATTGGTTGATGAAAGATGCGTCTTGTATGCATGGATCATGACAAAAAAACACACCAAAACCGCCCAAAGAAATTGGCCATAAGTTTCTCTCTAAGGCTTTGTTTGGGACAGCTTTCTCATTGCTTTCTAAAACAGGTTTTTAGCACAAAAAATTCTAATTGCAATAAAATATTTAACTAAAAAATTGCTTTATAAAGCATTACGAAATCTGTCCCAAACGAACCCTAAATCTGATTTGGCCAGCCCAGTGGGCATCTTCTGATGCCAATTAAAATCAGGTTCACGCCAGGACAGGTTGCTGCGGTACTGCCAATTGTTAGATCTAATTGAACCATAGGACCTTATTAGCCCTGAATAATTTGCAATTAATTGTAAGTGGTGAAAATTTTTAAGATTTGAAGCATTTAAATCAGGATCCTGTGAAATTACAAAATTGTCGTCTAATCCAATATGTTGAGCATATCATAGTGATTTTAAAATTAGTTTTTTAACATATTTACCGTTAGAACTTGTGAACTTTTAAAAACTGGTTGGCTGAACTGGAAATGTGGAGCTTGTGGTGAAGATTTGCTATTTTGGAAAATAAAATCGATCTTTTTTAATGTGTGGACATATGCTAGCACTGAACTTTGCCATCTATATGTTCTGAAATAGATAACCTAAATCATTTTGTTAGAAGGCCAAATTTTAAATTTGAAACTGAAGATCTGCATTTGGAGTAGACTCTTTTGTGCTTGTTTAGTTTTGTTTGTGCTTTTAGAAACATTTCCTTTTGCTTTGTTAAATGTTCTTTACATTACAAAGTTCAACTTGTCAAAGTGTAATATATTTCTTATGGAGTTTTATGATTCATTGCAATCGCATGGTACAGAGGGACACCAATGGGTTGAGTGCTGAAAATAGTGAGTTGAAGCTACGTTTACAAACCATTGAACAACAGGTCCACCTGCAAGATGGTAAGGTTTTTTGTGCATTTTGCATGATAGCTACCCATTGTGTCCATAAAGCATTATCATATATTAAATACTGCATATATATAAGTTTGCGCCATATATATATAGCATTTTACTTGTATATATTATCTTGCCATCTTCCTTGTATTCAGCTTTTATCTGGTAGCCTTCATTATTATATATTTTTTCTAATAACACCTGTTCTTTCATTTTAAAGTCATTAATTACAATGCTCATGTTGACTAACATTATCAATGAATTTTGTGAGATGCAAAGATTGTTAAATTTGATGTTCCACTTGGGATCAAATTTTAGTGAAATTATTCTGTACGGATACAGATGCCGTTCGGAGGCGAATCATAGCGCGCCACGTCACCCATTTGTTGTGTACCGTGGTTGTGTACTAGTTGATGTGGCGCGCTCTGATTCACCTCCGAAAGGGCCGGTGTCTGCACAAAATTATTTCTCCAAATTATAAGGGCCTGTTCGGGGTACCTTTTTTTAGAGCTTTGTTTTTCAGACTGTTATCACAATTAGATTTAGCTATAGCTTTTAAGTTGCTTTTCAGAAATTTCTTTTATAATCAGATAGATGTTTGATTGAAATGATCTTTATTCTTAGCTGAATTTCTGGTATCATTTCAACAGCAGTAAATGACGCAATGCGTGAGGAAGTGCAGATTTTGAAATTAGTCACCGGACAGATGACACCAAATGCATCAATGATGAACTTTGAGCCATCTTTTGGAGCCAATCTGCAATTATATAACCATAATCAGTCAATGCAATCTCTTATAGCAGCTCACCAACTTCAGCAGCTCCAAATCCATTCCCAGCATCAGCAGCAGTTCCATCCACGCCAGCAGCAGCAACAGCAACAGCAGCCGCTTCCTGCAGAAGTCAGGATGAAAGGAACAATGGTGTCTCAGACCTCAAGAGAGGGCATTTATGAAGCCAATAATACTAACAAGGAGTGATACAACTTACTTGAAGTCATTAGCTACTACTTATATTGTAACTTGCACTATCTTTTTCCATTTTGGCCGTAAAGTTTCCAAACAATATACAGCTATTCCATGCATATCAAGAAATTTGTTTCGGCTGAAATATTTACTGATGTTGATGGCCTCAGGTATAGCCTGTGAATTATGGTGATGCTGTTGTGAAAACATCTGAGTTTTCTGATTGTGATTCATCTTCATGTGAAATATGGTGGTTTTTTTATTTATTATTTAGAATCTTTTGCGATAGTTTTTTTATTGTTTTGTTTTTGAGGCTGTAGTCATAGTTTCATTTGACTGTTATTTTCTCATTATTTTTTAGAAATGTTTTATCATGGGAAATTGGTTTTTTGCAACCAGAGATATTAATGTGTGGTAGCATTAAAAAACAACTATTCAATTTCCTTAAAAAAATGTATATTTATAATATTACAGTAGCTTTTTAAAAAATTATTTTACCTATAATAGCTTTACAATCAATTTTATAAAACGTCACAATAGTATCTGAGTTTGGGACGATCTTAAATCACTATTTTTTTTTGCTTTCAAAAGAGTTTTGTATTTAAAAACAACTTTACTTAACAATAAAAAAACCTTCCTAAGCAAAACTTTTGTCACACTCCAGTTGTTTGATGGGAAGTGTTTGTAGGAATTTAGGAAAATACTTAGCTTAATTTTGATTTTAGCAATGGCAGAAAATCAATGACAAGAAAATTAGGAATAGAACATATAAGAACCTTTTTTATTGAAAGTTTTTTTGAAAGAAATAAATAAGATATAATGAATCTTCAATTTGAGAAGAAGATTTGGCTCTCCTAATTCTTATCCGGGGGATAGAGCCCCAACAATCTTAGAGAACTCTCAAATTCAATAAACATAGCATAACATAACCCTAACCCTAGGGTGAAAATTATAATTAAAACAAAATACAATCACCTAATCTCTAAACAGCCCTTTACTTTGAATTTTCTCTCTCAAACTTGTCCTTAGTTAATCTTTCATTGACTGCTAGGCCGCACCAAAGAATCCCGCCCACTGTTGGGCGGAATTTTTGTTCCGCCTGATGTATGTATGAATCGATTCAGGGTGAACTGGTCTAACACTGTTCCATAAGTGGAATGGGTGATAATTGTTGAGGCATTATTTATGTATTATTATTATTATTTTATTTTGGAAAACCTGTTTGCCAATGAGTTGGTTCTGATCTTTATTAATGCACAGATATTAGTGGCAGCAATCATGGAATCACATTTTTTTAAAATTTTTTTGGGAAGTTTCTGATTTTCTCTCCTTCATATAAGGATGTATTTTATTTACCACTTTGTGGTCTATTTCATGATTATCTGGACATATATACCTTATCAGAAGATGTCTTTAAAAAGGAAATTAATGCTGAAAGATTTTTCTGCTTTTCTCTGTTCAAAAACTTCCTCTCCTTCATCTAAGGATGTCTTTATTCAAAGAAAGTAAGAAAATACATTTAATTGTTTGCACTTTGTCTTTGCTTTCTTTTGTGGGCAAAGTTGCACTTCATAAAACATAAAAGTGTGTTGAACTCTATGCCAATCATCCTCTTTGTGAGCTATCTTTTGCCCTAATGTTATTATTATTAAATGGGAGAAGCTTTTTAATAGGTTTTTTTTTTCTTTTCTTTTTGGGAAGCCCATGATAATAATAGAAAAACTCTTTGTGTTCATTCCTATGGATTATGGAAGGTGAATTTGTTTGATCACTTGTTGAATACTAGTGTCAAAAAATAACTCGACCCATCAACTTGATTAGAATCCAAACTGAAAAATTTGGGTTCAGATTGACATGTTTAATAAACAAGTTGGATTTGGGTTTGAAATTATGATCCATTTATTAAACGGTTTGGGTTCAAGTTTATTCATCAACTTGATCGAAATGACCCATTTAAGTTATTTTTTTTCATAAATTTATTTCTTTGTTGGTATGATTATATTATTTTTTATTAATTAATATAAAATAATTATTAAAAAGTTATATTTTAAAAAAAATCAAAGCGTGTTTTGTGTTGGATCTTTAAGTTTTGAGTTGGTCGGCTTCGGGTCTGCATCCACATTTTTTACTTGTTTATTAAATAGAATGTGTTTGAGTTGATTGGACTCAGGTAAGGTAAATTTCAATTAGGACCCTAACCTGACCCATTGACTCTTTTTGTCATCCATTTTGCTAAGTACTGATGCTATTTAAGTCACTATAATAATTCATAATTGATATATCATCAAAAAATTATCTTGATCGGGCACGAATCTCGAGGCAAAAGTCAAATTGGAAATTTTAAAAATTAAATTCGGGATCATCTGAACTTCGATTTTAGCAAACTTATAGTTGAACTGAGCGTCTTGAAAATACAAACCCAACGACACTAAATTCGACTCAATCCGAGTCCAAATCAAGGACTCAAAGCATTGTTGGAAGCTTCAAACCATAATTTGGGTTACCAAATGGTTTCCAAACATAACGTGCTTATAGTTGCATCGAGCGGCTCGACGAGACAAATCAAACGAGCCCAAGATTACCGAATTCTAACATCATTAAAACCTTCAAATGTCTAACGAGCAGTCCACGATCAAGGGATTTAATATCGGCCATCCATCCGAACCACTCCACCTTTGCCCTTGATCCTCCTCCTATTTAAGGGTCATGCAATCCTCAAAAAACTATAAATAGCCCCTCATTCTCTTGAGAGGGGACCCAAGCAAGAAGAAGAAGAGAAGAAGGAGAAGAGAAGAAGAATAGGAGGAAAGAAACTCGTCCTCGACCACCGCCGGAATTCTGCCCGACTTCCACGGGACGCCGAAACACAGCCCAAGTGATGCCAGAATTCTGCCCGACTTTCAAACAACGCCGGTATTCTGCCCGTTCTCCAAGTGATGTCTGAACTCTGCCCGACAATGTAACTGGATTTCAATCAAGAAGTGATTCATTGTAATATGATCACTCTAACTTTTACGGATGAGTCAGCATATTGTATTTCAAGAAAACACTTGTAAAACTTTTTCAACTAGGAGTGGCCCCGTGCTTTTTTCTCTTTCCAGGGTTTTTCATGTAAAATTTTTGGTGTTCATTCATCTTCTGATTGTGTGCTGAATATCCGTACAACGCTAAGACAAATATTTTCTAACTCTATCGCCGCGTATATTCTAGCCCGCAACAAGTTGGCGTCGTCTATGGGAAACATTATCCTATAATTTCAAATGTTGTTACAATGGTCAACAGTCATATCATTGGAGCTTCTCGCTCCAACTCCCACCAATTTATAAACCAGTCTATAAATCATAGACGCCAAATATCTGCTCTTTTTACCCTAGGAGCTAAAATGCTGCTGGAGAAGGAACCTCGGGACCTTCCGTAGAAGATATAATTCGAAAGATGGAAGAATCTCAGAACGAGATCCTTCAACTCCTGCGAGAGACTCGACAGCCAGTGTTACCACAACAGAAGGAGGTTCTTCTCCCTCAAGCTCCACCAATGGCCGAAGATGTTCAACTCAAAAATCTTCAAGTAGTGATCCCTCTCCCTCCTCCAACAAGGGACCTACAATCAGACCAAGATAACGAACTTGTTGATACAGCAAGTTCTACTCATCCTTCTCCCACAACTCGGTAACCTCGCTTTCCTCCATATCTCCCAGAAGACTTAGCCCAACCACACGTTGCTGAGCTCCCTCGCAATGCCCTACGTCATGAACTGCATAGATTAGTACGGGAAGAGTTCCCCGGATGAGATGTGAGGCAAACTCTTTGACAGAGGAACTTCTAAGAGTCATCACCTCTAACTGAAGACATTATTCAGCACCCCATTCTGGTTGAATTCAAACTACTGAGCATCGAGTCCTATGACGGAACATCTGACCCATATGAGCATATCGATCACTATAGAACCATCATGCATATCAAGCAAGCCTCAGATGCACTCCTCTTCCAGGTTTTTCCTGCCACCCTTAAAGGACAGGCTCGAACGTTGTTCTATTCGCTTCCATCCAGAATTATTACTTCATTCGTCAAATTAGCCAAAGTGTTTGTTGAACAGTTCGTAGCCAATCAAATAATTGCTAAGGATTCATCCCACCTCTTCGAGATCTGTCAAAATGAAGGAGAATCATTGAAGGAATATTTTCAACGATTTTTTACCGAGGCTCGACATATTCCAGGAGTAGATCATGAATTACTGAGAGGGATCTTTCTTGGAGGCATTCGTCCTAGCCCTTTCTATTCGACACTCATGGGATATTGTTCATTCATATACCAACCTGATTCATCATATGGAGGCACAAATCTCAACAGATGAAGCTATAAATGCTACCAAAAAATAGTTTGAGCAAACAAATGTAAAGCACAAAGGTGCACCATGGATGTATATTTCATTATTGCAGTAAAAAAAATAATGGAAGAATAGCCTGCCTCCTAAACATCCATTGCCACGGTAAGGATTTCGACAAGAGGTAGAGTATACTCCACTCAACGCATCCCGAGCAAAATGTATTGATGGTCGTTCGAGATCAAAATATACTGAAATTGCCGAATCCTTTGAAGCCGAATACAGGAAATCAAGATCAGTAATGTCACTTTCATCATAGTCGTGGTCACACTACCGAAGCCTGTAAGTAACTCAAGGATGAGATTGAAAGACTTATCCGTCATGGCTATCTTTGATAATTTATTCGAGATCCACCTACCCGAGAGGAAGCTCATCTTGCTGGAGGGCAAAATCAACAACAACAAAGACAACCATTGAATAATATTCAAATTGTTGGTGAGATTAAATAACTACGCACTTTGTGCATTTGTATTAGTAATACTACTTGTCTTATTTCATCGTGTTTCTTTTATGTTAAATAGGGTGTCACTTTGACATCCCTAATGTTGTGTTATCCCCGTACATATATATTATGTGTTGAGTATATTGTAACTTGTATATTCTTAAGTCATACTAGGGACATATTGTGTTATCCTACATGACATAGTAATGTGTTGTTCACTCCGTTCTACTATTGTCTCATTAAAAAAAAATGAAGGTGCAAGTTGTAATAACCGGAAATATTCAGGTATTGGTTAATAATTAAATATTAATAATTTTCTATATTAATATGTGGGTTAAAATAATTATTAGAGATATCTATAGGAAGCATTGTAATACAACTCTTGGAAACAACTCTTGGCAAAGGCGGTTTGTAAGAGGATGGTTAGAAGCTGGGGCCCAC